TTCCGGCTCCATGCGTGTGTGCGCTATGCTTGCCGTGTGTGTGAGTGTTCTATCTTAATCCTACTTATTATTTGCTGATTGTTTGGCTTCATAATTAAGCTCCACTTTCACCCCAAACATCTGATTTATAACACGGTAAATCTTGAAGAATTTGGGGTGAAACACACGGCCAATGGCCGTGTGCCAAGTGTCGTGTGCCTAGTGCACAAGAGTGGCACTTGGTGCTTAGTCACCCAACTTCTAGCTCAGTCATGCCCCAAATGAGCTATAAAACCTCCACCTATGCTGATGTTATGATGAGACTTCACGTGAAGAGTGGAGAATTCTTAAATCTCGGCAGTTAAGTGCTAAGCACGGCTTAAGACGTGCTAAAGCGTGGTTACGCGCATGCTTAGTACATCCACACCTACGCCATGCTTATGAAGTGCAATCAACGTGCATTATTTGCTAACACATGATCATCGGGTAATTAGGTTACCATTAGTGCGTGAACATTGATCTTAACTTGGTAAGATTAATTATCGAGCGATTGAACATAAATTAATTATCGGAAAATTATTCCAAACATGAACGTGATATTCGAAAATTAACTTGAACGTTCCTTGACTTGAATAAATAATTCTGAATGATAACGCTGAATAAAATAAATATTTCGGAACTAAACATGATATTACATTAATAAACATGACGGGATATTACAATCAGCCCCACTTAAAATATTTCCGTCCTCGAAAATACAAAATGGGACATATATATACATGAAACATGAAAGAACATATACATCAGAACTGAAAATCAGGAAAACGAGCACGTATATCAGCCTCCTGCTCCCAAATGGCTCCGTGGCGATCCCATTGAATACGAATGAGGGAACATCACGCTTCCGGAGCCGTCGAATCTGTGGGTCCAACACTGCTACCGGCCACTCCTCGTAAGACAAGTCTGGATGGATCTAAATATCAGTATGTGGAATGACATGATCGGGGTCGCACACGTACTTGCGTAACATGGATACATGAAAAACATTATGAACGTTGGATAACTCGAGAGGTAAGGCTAATCGATACGCAACGTCGCTCACTCGCTCGAGTACTTCGAACGGGCCAATGAATCGAGGATGTAATTTCCCTCTCTTCCCGAATCGAATAACTCCGCGAAATGGACTAACTCTGAGAAAAGCTCGCTCGCTAACCTCGAACTGAATGTCTCGTTGATGATGATCGGCGGTTGATTTTATTCGACTCTGAGTTGTCTTAAGTCTCTGCTGGATCAATTCGACCTGCTCTGCTGTCTCCTCGATCAATTTCGGACCGAGTACTCGACGTTCACCGACATCGTCCCAATATAGAGGGGAACGACACTTACGACCGTAAAGTGCCTCGTAAGGAGCCATCTGAATAGAAGAATGATAACTGTTGTTGTACGCAAACTCCACATACAGTAATAACGACTCCCACTTAGCACCCCTGTCAACAACCAAAGCCCGTAACATATCCTCTAACGTCTGAATAGTCCGCTCTGTCTGTCCGTCCGTCTCTGGATGGTAGGCTGAACTGAATGCTAACTTCGTGCCCATCGCCTTGTGCAAACTCTGCCAGAATCTGCTAGTGAATCTGGGATCTCTGTCTGACACGATAGTAACAGGCACTCCGTGGAGTCGAACGATCCCACAGGTATAAATCTCAGCTAACTTATCCAAAGACATATTCATTGATACTGGTAAGAAATGAGCAACCTTAGTCAATCTGTCGACCACGACCCAAATAGCGTCGTGATGTTCAGACGACCTCGGTAACCCCGTGACAAAATCCATCGCAACCTCCTCCCACTTCCACTTCGGAATCGGCAGTGGGTCGTAGAAGGCCTAAGGGACTCTGGTGTACGGCTTTGACTTGCTGACAGGTTAAACATTTCCTCACAAAGTCGGCTACGTCTTTCTTCAATCCTCGCCACCAGAATGACCTTTTCAGGTCATGATACATCTTAGTGCTTCCTGGATGGGCTAGATATGGTGCAGTATGAGCCTCAGTAAGAATCTTCTTCCTCAATGCTTCGACTTTTGTCACCACAATCCTGCCACGACACTCCAAGGCCCCATCAGTGCCTCGGTGAAAACCCTCGACGCCTCCGACATGAACTTTGGCATCAATCGCACGAATAAACTCATCTGAAGCCTGCTCTTGCCAGATTATTTCCCTCAGCGTCGGCTGAACCTGCATGGAACTGACACTCCCCATAGTGGCTGTAGGAAGTGCATCCACCACTTGAATCTGCATCTGGGTGAACTCCTAAATCAACTGGCTCTACTGAGTAACAACATACGTCAAGTCACCCTTCACATTGCGGCTTAGGGCATTAGCAACGACATTCGCTTTCCCCAGATGATATTGGATCGTGCAACCATAATCCTTGACGAGCTCTAACCAACGGCGTTGTCTCATGTTGAGCTCCTTCTGAGTGAAAATATACTGCAAGCTCTTATGATCGGTGAAAATCTCGCATCGACCGCCGTATAGATAATGTCGCCAAATCTTGAGGTCATGAACAACTGCAGCTAGCTCCAAGTCGTGTGTCGGATAGTTATGTTCATGTGGTTTGAGATGGCGTGAAGCATAAGCAACGACCTGGCCATCTTGCATGAGTACACATCCCAAACCCTGTCTTGAAGCATCACTGAAAATGGTGAAACTCCGAGAAGGATCGGGAATAAGCAACACCAGTGCTGAAGTTAGCCTCTTCTTGAGTTCCTGAAATCTTGATTCACATCGATAAGTCCATTCGAACTTCACAGACTTCCTCGTCAGCTGGGATAAAGGAAGGGCAATATTGGAAAAGCCCTCAATGAATCTGCAGTAATAACCAGCCAAACCGAGAAAACTGCGAACCTCGGACGGACTCTTCGGTGTCGACTAGTTCTGAACAGCTGCAACCTTGGAGGGATCAACCTCAATACCTGCCTGCGTAATCACATGACCTAGAAAGGCTACTTGCTGGAGCCAGAATTCGCACTTGGAGAATTTTGCATATAACTTTTCTCTTCTAAGGGTGTCAAGAACAACCCTCAGATGCTCCTCATGTTCCTTCTGGCTCTTAGAGTAGATAATAATATCATCAATGAAAATAATGACATACTGGTCGAGATAGGGATGGAAAATACGGTTCATCAGGTCCATGAATACAGCTGGAGCATTGCTGAGTCCGAACGGCATGACGACGAACTCATAATGTCCATAACGAGTACGGAAAACGGTCTTGGGAATGTCTGACTCCTTGATTTTCAGCTGATGGTAGCCTGATCGCAAATAAATCTTAGAGAAAACACAAGCTCCCCTCAACTGATCAAATAAATCGTCGATCCTGGGAAGCGAATATTTGTTCTTGATCGTCAACCGGTTAAGACCCCGGTAGTCGATACACATGCGCATGGATCCGTCCTTCTTCTTAACAAATAGAACGAGTGCTCCCCATGGTGACACGCTCGGCCGAATGAAACCGAGTCGTAATAGCTCCTGGATTTGCGCCTTAAGCTCCTGCAATTCGTTCTACACCATACGATAGGGTGCTTTGGAAACTGGGCCAGCTCCTGGAATAAGGTCAATGGAGAACTCTACCTGCCGGTTAGGTGGTCATCTTGGAAGCTCATCCAGAAACATGTCCACAAACTCACGAACAATAGGAACGTCGTGAGGTGTTCGTGCTTTCGGAGAATCATCAATAAGACTAACGAGATAACCCTGACAGTTGCCTCGTCTCAACATCTTCCTGGCTTTCGCCATAGAAATAACATGTGGCAAGGAACGGGTCTTAGTACTGAAGAAAGTAATCTGATCATCTCCCGGAAAATAAAGAATAATCTCCCGGTCATGACATCGGATATCTGCATGAAAACGTGTTAGCCAATCCATGCCGAGTATGAGGTCAAAATCCCTCATCTCGAGAACATAAGCATCGGTACACAATATACGACCACCGATAGAAAGACTGAGATCTGTGGCTTTAGTTGAAGTCGCTATCTTTCGTCCTGAGGCTAAACTCACCTCGAGAGGATCGACAGCGGTAATAGCATGAACTCCGATGGCATCGAGACATCGTCGTGATGTAAATGAATGAGTCGCTCCAGTATCAAATAAGGCGAAGACAGGAATATCATTAAGCATAAGCATCCCAGACATGGTACCTGGGTGTTGTTCCGCCTCGGCCTGATCGACCGCATAAACCCTGGCCTGCTGTCTGCCCTGTTGTTGCTGCTGAGGTGGCCACTGATCCTGCTGTCGAGGCTGTTGCTGTTGTTGTGGCTGCTGGGGCTGCTGTGGCTGCGGCTGGAGTTTCTTCGGACAACGACTAGCAAAATGTCCGGGCTCGTGACAGTAATAACAAATATCCTGGCCCATGTGACACTCTCCGCGAGGAAGTCGACTGCAAGTGGGGCACTGTGGAATCTCTTGTAGCCTCCGTCTGGTCCTTCTGTCCATCGGGGCACCTTTCCCCTTCCTTTTGTTGTTCTTCGGTGGCTGGGCAGTAGATGGTGGAGCTGTGGATGACTGGGCAGGGGCAACTGGCTGCAATCGATTATGGTTCGCCTCCCTTCGAATGCTTGCATCCACCTCCTGGGCAATGGCAACGGTACGAGCGTACGTCTGGGTCCCGTGACCTACAATGTTTTGACGGACTGCTGGGTAAAGCTCGTTAGTGAAACGCTGTGCTCGTTGTGCCTCAGTACGTACCAGATCTGGAACAAAGGCTCCAAGCCTGGTAAACTCTCTCTCGTACTCATCAACAGAACGAGTACCCTGTTTGAGCGACAGGAACTACCGCTCCATCTCAGCTCGGTAGTACGTGGGATAGTACTTCTCCCGAATCATCTCCTTGAATCTCTCCTAGGTACAACCTTCCTTCTCGCCGGGACGCATACTCCAGTAGGCATTCCACCAGAGTCGGGCATCACCGGTCAACTGAAGCTGTGCGCATATAAGACGATATCGATTTGGACAATCCATGACCTCAAAAATCAATTCGAGGCCCTGAATCCACTCGTCTACAATACGCGGATCTCCCTGGCCGGAGAACTTCTCAGGGTGGTAGTCGCGGAACTGTGCGACCACTGTGGCCTGGGGGACCGCTGGCTGTTCGGGTTCCCTACGGGGCGGCATCTGAATATTGAAAAGATTCAACATGATCAAAACACAAGGAACATACTTTAACTGATCATTAAGCGCACAAATTTCTTGACGAGCTGCTAAACATGACTGGAAAATACTTGACATGAATCCTGACTACTGATCCTGAACATGATTCGACCATCTTAACTATATTATAACTGAGAATTTCTGAGCACAGAAATAGTAATTTGTGTATAATTTAAAAACATGAATCAGCACTTACCTATAGTCGGCGAGGAGTGAGCGTGACGTGTTCAGGTTTTTGAAAATTTCTGAATCGTGAAAATTTTCAGAGTTGCAGGAACGTGCTCTGATACCAACTGTAACACCCTGCCTTACAATGAAAATCAGAGTGCGTTTTTTCGCAAACATTTTTAAATAAAATACTGATTAGTTTGCAAAATATTGATTCAGAGTGTTACCATAATACATGACTTACTTTCAAATCCGATCGTTTTTTAAGAAACAGACTCACAGTCTGCTGACTGTCAAAACGGGCTAAGTTTGAAAAACAGTGAAAAGTCAGCAAAAACTGTAGTGGCAAAACATAATAGCAGTGCTGCGATCATGAAAATAAGTCCACGGGCGATAGCAACAGCACTGCTATGCTAAATTCAAAATATACAAAATGTAATTTAAA